TCATTTCTTTAATAAGACAATGTTTATTGTTGGAGAATTGAGATAGAGAATTCTATACTGTTGTAATGTACAAATGCCATATTGTACAACTGTTATTTCTAAACATGCACTCAGCTTACAACTTTAAAACCTTTTGTTACACATCATCATCATTTCATTTCAAATTCTATATTTTATTACAGCCACTGTCATTGGGACCACAATTTTTGACAGAAAATGCTTTGAGAAGATGGGAGGAATGCAACACCAAGCTTGTCAGTTGGGGCCCACTATCGCAAGTGGAAGTTATTAATGCTCAGAATCGATTAAAAGTTATGACTGCACTGTTTTTCATTTATAATCGTCAATTGAGTTTATTGCCTAAACTTGCTCTTAGGCATTTTTGTATAGCAACATCAAGGTATTTTTGGATCAGATTTACTATTTAAACTGTATTATTATAACATTGTGTAAAAATAGAACATGAGGTTTATATTTTTTTTATTCTTTATTTCAGTTATACTTTTAGGTTTCTCCTCATTATCTTTTTTATTTTCAGAATTGTTACTCAAGGTTTCCAAAAAAAAAAAACTGCTGGTGCATCTAATACTCAAAAACCCGTACCAAGAATACCAGTGTCTCCTAATTTTATGTTAGAAATGATAGAAGGTGCATACTTTGCTATGTTCAATGAATTCTATACATTGGCCCTGCAAGCTGTAAAAGACGTAGATCAAAGGGCCCAGTATGAACTATATCCAGATGTAATGCTAGTTACCAGTGCTGTAATAAATTCTTTGAAAAACAATTCATCAGGTAAATATACCACATTCCATAACATTTGTGACTTCACAATATTAATTTGCATTTAAAAAAATATATTTAAATTCATCTAAAAAAAATTCTGTATGTTTCAGGCCAACCATGTGATGGTCCTATGGGCATTAGTGTTGCACTGTCTCCAGCAACAACCACTGTTACAATGTCTAAGTCTATGATCACCAATGCATCATTCCGTACAAAGAAATTACCAGGTGAGATTTTATATTTATTGCATTCTTTATCAAACATTTAGATCTTTGTTATTATACTTACTGATGTATGAACTATCTGTAATTACATAAATGAGAAATAAAGATTATTATTAAATTCATTAATGCTGTATATTATAAATTAATACTGTAGAATAAAATGTGTCGCTATTAAATGTATATACATTAATATTTTTATGATTTTCAAACAGATGATCAAACTTTTTGCATGCTACCAAATGAATGCTCATCGATACGTAATACCAAACAAATGTTTTGGATTAAGAATTTATTTTCATACAACAATAAAAATACATGTTTAACTTCGGAATCATACAAATTTTCTCATGAAACAGTAAAGATTTTGAATGGGGAATATTGGAAAATATCAATGAAAAGAGTACAAAGTGATAATTCAATTCTAAACAATTCTGATAGTTCTGATTGTGAGGCTGAAAATATGTAAAGATTCTATGACAATTATAAACAACAATCAACCTTATTTTTATTTGGGCCTATATGTCATATAGTGAGGTGCGGATAATGTTCAAGACATAATCTGTGAATGTTACTAGTACACATTACACATGCACTTCATAAAGTAGATGCAAATAAATTTATAGTTGTAATTAAAAAACAATTATGTATAGATTAGCTATAACTTAATGTAACCATATGAATGTTACTGGACTCAATTATTTGTCAACTAATTCTATATTTATGTTAAGAGAGTTAGTCCCTACCTTGAAAAAGTAAAACAAGGAAAATAGAATAGTGGATTCACTACACAGTACTTACACTGTACCACCCAAAATCACGTAACAATTTTTACACTTAGTCTTTTTTTTTTATATAATAAATATAGATAATTAATGAGCTCTTAATACAATTATTTCTTTTGAATTTGAATATGCTGATACAAACAAAAGAAAACGAAAGTCATGGTAAGAACCCGTTTGTTTTGTATATTAAATGCAAAGACAACCTGAAAATCCAAAAAGTTATTTATAACTAAAAGTTTTATATTCCTTATATTTTTATTTTTTGTGGCTCATGTTACTCATATTATCTGTTACACAATCTACCCCATAATCTATAGTTATCTAAGATATGAAAGGATAAAGTATTTTCTGATAACTAATGTTTAATAGAATACTAATTTATTTAACTTACAGATCGAAAGAATAACCCATTTTTGAGATGAAATAATGAAAATATAATTTATATTAATACAATTGCCAACTTTCCCACTTATTCCATTTTTGTTTATATTTTTGATCTCAGGTACGGTCCATTTGAGATTGAAATAATAATATAATCCAAATGACAAAATATAACTTTTACTGAATAAAATCATTGTATATTATTTTATACACCTTATCACTTAATATCACTTTCATTAAATATATTATTAGGCATTGTTGTAACAACACAATAAACGCGCTTGTATTTTGTCTATAATTTGAAAAATAATCCTGTATACTCATATACTTATTGTCTTTTTCATTGTATTACTTAATATTTTTATTTTGTACTTACTTAAATTCTCATGTTAAATGAGATCCCCTCAATCTACGTAAAATATCCATAATCGGTGTAAAAAACATATTATTCTATACATATCATACTTTAGCCGGTAATTTATCATTTCTAGATGACATTCCGATACAAGCTGGACAAGTGGTGCCCACTGAGTCAGCTGACATGCTGTCATCTATCACCGAAGATGGCGAGACAGACTCGACACCGATCCAACGTGGAACTGGAGTGCGTACTTCCAAACCAAAACTTAGTTCTTTTCCTGTACTTGGAAAAAAGACCAAAGATGCAAATAAAGATAAAGGTGCAAACGAGAAAAAAGTTACTGTTAAGGATTCATCGAAGGGAATTTGGAATTCACTAAGTGGCGGTGGTGGAGATATGACAGATGGACAACAAAAATCGGGCACTGTAGATGGAACAGGTGAAATCAATGGTAGTATGAAAGATGAAAAAATGTCTATGAGCTCTTTACCCAATAGTACAGAAAATTCTGACTCCCGTTCCCAAGTTACCACAGATTCATTGGAATTAGAAACAACTCCACGCTTCGCTGCTATGCAAGTCAGCTCTGTATAATTAATAATAATTATAGTTTGACTCAATATTGTGATTACGTGTAAATAAATACATTGATGTTGTTCAATATTATCCAAACTAAACCCATCCATATAGGCATGCTTACACTTCTGAGCCGTGGAAATCGTTATTTTAAGGAATTACTTAGGCAGACATTGTTTTGTCTTTAACCATGTCTAGTTTTCTTAACAGAATAAAAACTGTCCTATATTTGAAGTTGGAACAAATTATAAAATAATAAGAACTACTAAGGGCCCATAATTTTTAGTAAATATTTTCAAATTACAACAATAAGTTTTTGAGAATGTCATTTTAAAATTTATTCTATTCCTTAAGGTTTGTGGTATATTTTTAAACACAATATATTTATATAATTATAGCAGATAAAAGGCAAAGGGGGTGCAGACTTACTTTTCTAAAATTAGTGTTATATCAAATTCTTATATGGTATTATGATTTTTTTTATAATTTTGGGTTATTAAGTCCTCATATTTTGTGTGGGGTGCTTAGTATAGCTTACAATATAACATTTGTATATTCATCTAGTGTTCTTGCTAGTCAGAAAAGGCGTACTTTGAATAGTTGGTGATAGAGTAATGGTTTAGGGTGAATTTGAATATTCTACACAGGTCTAAGGTTTCTGTATATTAATGGTACCTATTTGAAATAAATAATATTATAAGAAAAATATAAAAATGTTACTTTCTATCCTTTTTTTATGAATTCCTTTGAGTGCAGACAGTACATTGTATATACATACATACAAGATCTAAAGAAATTTATTTGCACAAACGTAGTTCCGAAGTTGGATTTAATATCTGGCTTCAGAATAAGTTATGTTTAAAAAATAACTTTTTTTTTGTGCATTTGAAATTTTTACTTGTTATAAATTACCTAGACTAGAATCTAAGCATGACATTGGAGTTTTGAAATTTAAACAATACGAAAATGGAAAATACATTGTGCAAATCCATATAATTTTTTAATTAAACTATGTAAATATTTCCTGTATAAATTTATACATTATATATTTATAATTACAATATCGCAAAGACATTTTGTTATTAGACCTACACATAAGTCGGGTAAGGAAATGTATTAAAATATAACTAAAATTTATTATTGTTCTAGTTAATATAAATACCTGCTATTTATGACCAAATAACAATATTAAAATAATGTTATAGCCAGTTTAATTGTTTTTTAATTTATATGGAAAATTTCCTTTTATAATGTATTTCTATATCAATCTTTTATAATTATGACATTTTTATACGAAAGAAATTTGGGGTAAAGACACGAATATACTATAGTATATTATAGTACTTGCAGTAGGTACAGATATATTACATTGGTATTTTAATCCGTAATTTCAGCAGAATAATTTTTTGAATTGAATTGGAATAGTTATCAATCAATACATATAATAAAATCATAACTGGTCGCAGTCTGTACATGAAAGATATATAAAAAAACTATTATAAGGGGGCTTAATGAACGCAATAGAACCTAAAACGATTATTTTTATCATTTTTATCTGTATGTCTGTACGTTTGTGCACACTAATCTCAACTAAAGCTTAACCGATTCGAAAGCGGTTTTCACTAATGCGTTGCGGTTTGGCTTAACATTTTATGTTTGTTTTATTTCAATCGGTTTATAAATAAAAAAGTTATATCAATATAAAAAGCACATAAAATAACCGATCAATTAAATTGACTGAAACTTTATGAAGGTAGGTTATATATTATATATTAACTCAGGATATTGTATATGCTGATTCACGTGGGCTAGTTATGTAATATTTACATTTCGTTTGTACATATAACTTATAAAATGTGACTCATATTTATTTTAACCAGATATAAACAGTTTTTGATAACGATTCTCGCCACTCTCAGATCGTCACCGTCGCACTGAGTAAACAGCACTAGCACAATGAGGAGTATATATTTGCTTATGAGTATTCTTGCACTTACATGCATCTCGTGTTGTTGGGCAAGAGATCTAATAGTGGGTACGAGCTATAATACACGTTTAACTTGGCAAACGAGAGCTGACTACATGGGTATTCCTTTTAAGAAGCGTGTGAAGGAAGTTTTTTATTCTGACCCCGGTCAACAAATTATCAGGGTGAGTAAAACATAATTAGACATAAAACTTAATATTATATTACAACTGTGCCAATTATTTCATATTTATGTAAATATCGTGCTACTCAAACAAATACTCGTTGCCATTTCAGAGGACATTGATATGTAGGCAAATGGGTATATCTTGTCGTGTCAGAGTTTGAGTATTTATCATTTTTATATTCAGAGCATGCACCATCTTTCCCTTCAGATGAAATAAGACACTCGCTTAAATGCTTAGGAGTTTAGTGATTTACACACGTACAAAAGAATTCTGCATACAATATACATAAAAATAGGTAAATATACGACTACATTCCTGACAAGTAGATACATACGTAGTTATTTACTTACTATGATAATTTTAAAATAAAATCACAGTGTTTCACTCGTTTATAGTATACCGAGTTTTTAATTTTGACATCATACATTCACTTTTGACAAAGCTAATTTCATTTCTGCAGGGTATAATTGCAAGAGACATCGATCATACGGATGCCAGTGCGACCTTAACGGCTGGTGGTGTTGGATTCACGTATGCAAACATTCGTCTTAAAAGTGCACGTGGCAATGGGCTTCACTATCAAATAGAAATTTATGTATAATGTAAGGTTGCCACTTCCACTTTTTGATTTAAGCCGACAGCATAAAAAGTACCTACTGGTTTTAAATTTTCTATTATGATAATATATTTGTAACTTCAGTAAGTAGGAGCATTTATTTTGTTTGTACCTATGTATGCTTATGTTTTGTCTATTTAATCGAAAGAACTTAGGTTAATACAACTTCCATAGTGGATCCATACTAATTTTATCAAAATTTATATCAGTTTTATATTGCAAAAGATATTAATTTAGTGCATTAAATTATTATGTATATATATATATGTGTACATATATGTATATAAATTATTATACAACATAAAAAAAAATATTTAATGGTTTCATGACGCAAATATATAGGCCCTTACATTAATTAGATAAGGCACCAGCCGCGGCAAAATTTGTACGATAAATAAATACCAGCTATTTCCTCTGTATTTCATTATCAAAGCTACCCTTACAGTAACCTATGATGATACAGTAACCCTTTACTGTATCATCATAGGTTATGAAATGGAATAATCTTTAGAATACAGGCCATTTAGCAAACCAAGTTTCTACAATCCACATGGCTTTCTAGTATTTACCATGTCCTTAATGCTTGATTCAAATCACTTTAAATTGAACTTTTTTTAAATTATATATTAGTGGTAATTTTAAAATATATTTAATTTATTTATATACTCTTTCTCCATTTATTATTATATTAACTTACCTAGTAGTAGTTAATACTTACAATAAACAAAAAAAAAATTACACCGAACAATCATTTTTATGCAAAAAGTGGCAAACAAGCATGCTTCCCATGTTATAGTGGACAGCCACTGTAGCCTCTGGACGCTTGAAACTCTAGGGATGTCACATGTCCCCTCTAGTCTCGATCAAAGAAAAACCTCGGCAGAGCAGGGAGCTCATTCCACAGTCTAAGCGTCCACGGAAAGAAATCTCTCTGAAATCGTACTGTAGGTACGCAACCTCTTAGGTTGTAGCATCTGAGGATGAATTCCCTGTCAATAGTGAACGGTGTGATGGTAATAGGTGGATATGAGCATCATTTCGAACAATTCTTCAGAACACTATCCGTTATACTACCTAACTTAGTTTACGAATATCATAAAGTAATAAGACTTATCGCGAAGGTTATTTCTTATCGTAGGTACCTATGTAATGCAACTTGACCTCCCAACAAATCATTTATTTAAAATAATTATGTTTACATTGTTAAGAGTAACAATTTCTCTAAAAATAAATATATGGGTAAGTAGTGACTTGGGGGGGGGGGGGGTTACTAATAATTACCGCATTAAAACTTTGATTGCATTTATTTATTTATAAGAGACGCTGCTGATTTTTGGAGATGCGTCCCTCGATGACTAAATTCCCTTAGTCGCCTCTTACGACACGGGAGAGGTAGGGGTGGTCCATTTTATGACCACACAGTTAATCATACTTAGTCTAAAATATTAGTATTATAAATGCAAAACACGAAAAATGCATAATTTAATTAGACTAGATGTATTTATTTATGTGTACTATATGAAATGGTTAGTGGCATAGAACCTCTAGCATAATTCTTTATTTTATTACTAATTTGTCTCTTTGATGCCATAAAATCGCTGCTAGTAGCATTTCCATAATCGACAACGAAAGGATCATTGTCTGAACCGTACGGCATAGATCGTTGTTTGCTCATTTCCAAAAGTTGTTGTAGCCTTTCTATCGTTTCAGCTTGTTCCTCTCGCTCCATTTCGTTTATGAGTATGGGTAAATTGGCTGCACACACCCATAAATAAAATTCGCCCACTGAAAGTATTTATAAGGTTAACAGAAACCGAATCCGGTTTGATACACAAATGATTTTAATACAACTTCGATCTCCTATATGCCTTTACAAATCGGATTTCATAGTAGAACCCGGAGACTGAGTGAAAAATCGTTGTTTCATATGTTACAGAAAAAATTAATAGGATTTAAACTTTTATCCCAACAGTCTTTCCATATATGGAATCTTGACAATCTTTATTCCCTATTAATTGATTATTTATAATAGGGGAGTCAGTTCATATTGCTAGCAATATACACAGTCAGGTCGACCTCCACGCGGCCTTCCCTGAAAATAATTCTTATCAATTCCTAATAATATCAATAGGTCAACAGACCTGATTTCATTCTCATCTATAATCACTATTACCAGCGTATAACCAGATACCAGTAACGCAGCTGGGGTTAGCATTCCATTTCTCGACTAAAATACACGTAAGTTAAACCGGTAGTTATCACATTTAAAATACATAAAAAAAATTAAATATTCACGACGAATTAAGAATCTCCTCTTTTTTGAAGTCGATTAAAAAGTAGGTATGTATTATTTGGCTGCAGAAATTTTACTGTGCATCAGAATTCCTTCAAAGTTTCGATACTAAGCAATTATTTGAATTTAAAACAATGTAGTTTATTTATTTATCTTACAACTTTTTGAGTACAATAAGACGCTTTTATATATATATATATATATATATATATATATATATATATATATATATATATATATATATATATATATATATATATATATATATATATATATATATATATATATATATATATATATATATATATGATTATAATACTTACGAAGAAAGAATCCACCTGCAACGCTGGCCCCAATTAATAGTCCTATATCCATGGTATTTTGTTTGAGTACTAAAAGACAAGTGGCCACAGTGACCGACAACATAAGCAACCGGGTCAACTCTAACAGTATGTATCCAATCATTAGTATGTTATTGCACTGTATTAATAAAAATATTACTAATTAATTCACTTGCATAACTCTGCGTAAATTTCTAATATACAGGGTGTAAGAAATAGGTTGGGAAAATTTTAAACAGTGAATTAAAATCATTATTCTGAACTGAAAACTAGTGAAAATTCTTTCCGGAAAATTTCAAATGTTTTTCCTGTTTTTTTTTTATTTAAAATCATTTAATTTATGATCTTATATCATAATACAAAGAAATAATAATATTAGTATTAAAATCCACTGCGTCGTGTGGATCGTAAAATTTCAAATACATTACGCAGCGTCAAAACGGAAAAATCCTTAATTATATGGCTGTGGTGCACTTCCAATAGAAAAATAATCTGCCATTTAATTCAGACCATTCATATGAATCAGCTGTTTTCGTTTTGAGCAACCGGCCGTTTCACCCTGTATATTCCAAGGACCACTTGAATCGATATTTTTTTATGGATGATTTTTTATAATGGATGATAATGGAATGCTAACCCCACCTGCGCTAACGGTATACGCTGACAAGGCACCAGTGAGGGGTGATAGGTGATGATGAAAGCAGGTCCGTTAGCTCATCGTGACGAATTCCACTAGAATTAACGATAGTTTCCAGGGGGGACCGCGTAGAGGTCGACCTAGTGAAGTATATTGCTAGTATGAGGAAATTAAATTTTATTACTAACAATCCCTTCCCCCCCTTTATGGATGATTATGGGATAGTTACCCGCTTAAGCTATCGGTATACGCTGGTGCCCCACCAGCGAGAGATAACATGCGAGGATGAAAGCAAATCAGTTAGCCCATCGTAAAGAATTCACGAATTAGCCACGATAATATCCAGTAACAAATCCGTTCAGCCGTTTGATCATGATTGAGAAACAAACATACCTACTTTATATAGAGATTCCGCAGGCAAAGCCGCGGGAAATAATATATAAAAACCAGATATACAAACAGCCAATAGTATATATATTAGAATTACGTAGGTAATTCTGTAGCAGTACAGAAGACTTACTGTCTTGTCTCTTGTACATAGTTAGTCCAGAAGTAGAGAACTTCGTGAGAAAGTCAATGAGTGTTCTTCAGTCGACTGCAAAAAGGTTTAATTTTCTTGTGCTTGCATGCTCAACTTGTCTTAGCTACAATTCGCCGACTATATTTGATCCCAATTAGCACCTATTAGTTTATATTACTTATTTTGTAATATTGGAACCCAAAATCTAAAAAATCAAGCACACCGCCACAATGAACAAACCAAGCGCTACCTTGATTACACTAGAACCAGTGGCAAAATGCGCTGGCTCCCGACCCAAAAGGGCCCCTGCTCAAGAGGCCGCGAGCTCAGATTTTTTTTACATTGTACCTGAGTATTTTATTTTTACTGATAGGACCCCATCAGTGTGAGAATTTGCCACAGGCCCCAAATGGTATAGTTACGCCACTGACTAGAACCATAGTCATTGGCGTATTTAAGATTTTTTTCTAGGAGGCCTTACCGTTTAAAATGGCGCATACTCGTATGTACTCGAATCCAAAGATGGATCCCAAACAATTCTAGGATGGGCACGAAACCCCCTCAATTTCGGTTTTACGTTACATATATTAAATACGCAAGAAAAACCGCATGAACAATAAATTATAATTCAATATGACTAACAATATTTATGATTCAACGATATTTATTTATTCGAATCATTATCGGAAACTTGGACGGATATCAAAATTTATATTGATAATATAAGTTTATTTTGCTTTCATAATCACTAAGACAACTAATGATGCCGATATCTAAATTGTGAACTGTGAGGGAAAGTAATTTTTAGTCAGCAACTTGGTCTTATTTCTACTATTACCTAATTATTATATTTTGTTTATTTGTGATTTTTTATTCCAACTGAGATGCTCTTGTTCGAATGAACTACTTATTATTATGATATCCCAAGTATGATTAACGCATGAAATTAATTAATGGTTGAAAATAAAATAGTGACCCCGTCAATGCTATCGGTATACGAGGTCTGTCCGGAAAGTTCGTATAAAAGTGTTCTGGAATGCGAGAAAGAGGAGTGGGGAGGCCAGGTAAGCGCAGGACCCCTTCCTTATGTCCCTAACAATGCTTCAGTTCTGGTCTGACCGCCGTGCGGTGCGAACTGGCTTGTCACGCCATCTGTGAAGTTACCTCTTAACGAAACCCCGTCGGCATGGAGCCCGCTTCCGTTGAAGAGCAGCGCGTCGTAATCAAGTTTCTCTCGAAACTCGGCAAGAATGGCCGTGAAATTTTTGCCGATCTCAGAACAGTTTATGGGGATGATGCTGTGAAGGAAAATCCCGCTCAAATGTCAAGACAATGTTGATTGTTTTTTTCGATGTTCGGGGGATTGTCCATCAAGAATTCGTCCCTCCAGGCCAGACAGTTGATGGAAAATTCTACGTCGATGTGCTCAGACGCCTCAAAGCTCGTGTGGCACGAGTTCGTCCAGAATTGGCGCGAGAGGGGCGTTGGATTCTTCACCACGACAATGCCCCTGCCCACACCTCTCTTGTTGTCCGTGAGTTTTTGAGTAAAAATTCCATTACGGTGACCGAACACCCCCCTAGTCGCCGGATTTGGCCCCGTGTGACTTCTTCTTGTTCCC